TTAACAACCCAAAGATGAGATACACTAGCAATTGTGCTACTGCAAGCATCTATTACAGCGATACAATGATGAAATGATTCACATATAGGGATACTGCAGGACAACCCAGGCAAGAGTAACTTGACCAATGAGGGACATCTCTTTCAAGAGATTTGTCACCTGAAAAGGAAGGAAGGAAGACATTTTAACTGTACAAAGACAGCCATTAAAATCAAAAGGTTCTAGTCTTTACCTACCTTACTAGGACAAAAGAGTGTTTTTATTGCAATGTGTGTCCCTCTTGATTCTTATTTCTGTCTTGGTGCCATGTATGGCAAGGATAGATAGAAACCTCAATCACACTCGGGGCGTCACTGCAGTCACCCATGGGCAACAACTAATCTGGATGACCTGAAAAAATAACTCTCAGCTACATGCACTGACCCCATGACCTGGTAACAAAACTTACACATGCATTTATTTCCTTTAATGCTCATCTGCACTCTTCCTCTTTAGTATCCCTACTTCCATCCAGTGTGGGAGCTACACTCTGAAAGGATTTCACCCTAATTTCAATTTACTTGCATTAAGGTTAGAGCTAGGGGGAGTTCTTAGACCCCTTTTATGTGAGTGTTCTGTCAGTCCTTTCTGACCCATGATTACACGGATCAAAAAGGGACTGCAAACTATTCCAACGGGTGGCCAGATGTAAGCACATACGTGTCCCCTTGTATCTACAAACATCATCATCATCAAGTCCATCAGAATGAACACAATAACTTTATGTCCAGGTCTGCTTTTACTCACTTGACCGGATGTGGGAGGAGATAGGTAGTTGCACTCCATTTATATCTGGCTCCCTATAGGAATTACATGGGTCTCTTTTTCCTCCATGACAAAATGGAGAAAAAATTGTCATGATACAGATGTGACTAGCAGGGTCCCTAGTTGGGATAATTAACGCCTTTGCCAAGTAAAAACAGAATCACAAAGGGACATAGAAAAGGCTTGTCCAATCACACATAGGTAATATCAGCAATCTTGTTGTGTGTGATCTTAGGAAGGGATGTACTTTAGAAAGTTTAAAATGTTTAACAGATTTGCAGTTGTAGACAATGATGAAATTCAATGAGCCTAAATCAATGTCCAGATTAAAGAAGACTGATAGGTTCCTTTTGAACATAGTGTATTGTAGTACATATAATTTTAGCAATAAAGGAAGTATAAAAAAGGGGGATTATGCTCACTTTTTCACCAGGCCATGTCTCCTACCATCCTTCTGTTCTAGGACTGCAGTCTTCATCAGTTTTTTGTTTTCAACCATCTTGGAAGTGTCAGGTTCCTGTGTCCCCCCACAGTGCACTGTGGTTCCATCCATTAACCCCAATTTCACTGCCGAGCCCTGTAGTGACGTACAGGTTAGAGGATGGTACCAAAGCATGCAGCAGGAGACAAAGGCATTGGACACTGCTAGAGTTGTTGAATGCCAAAGAAACTAATGGAGGCTGCAAAACAGGTGGGAGATGCAGGTGTTTGTAAAGGTGAGTATAGTTCTCTTCTCTTGTAAATAACTTTCATTTGGACTTTTTTTGAAGTTGACAGGGTCACCTTAATCTGAATTCCGTGTAATCCTTTACAAAACAAGCAGGCACAAATCCAAGGACGGTCAGTAGCACCATATAACATCCTTTCTCTGCTCATCACCAACCACATTCAAACTTCCAAGGAAGGTTTAAATGACGGTGGCTGTGAGAAATGTCTTATTGCTGACCTTTTATTGACAGCAAAGATGCTGGGTGTGCCTGTTTCTTAAAGGAGAAGTATAGTCCTAAGCTTTTCTGGCCCTACTTCTACTATGGTTCACAGGAGTGCAGTTCGTTCTGCACTCCTGTGACCCATTTTCAGCCAGTCCAGGGTCTGGAAAGATCTTGAATTTTAAAGTAGGGATCCACCCAGAAGCCTAGTCCGGCAGCTGGCTCAGCCTCTCAGCAAGCTGCTGAACCCTGAGACAGCCACTCCTGCTCCCCCCTCAGCCCAATGCTCCAGTGAGCGATGGAGGGGCAGAGGAGAGAGCTGAGAACTGAGCAATCAGTGGTCTTTGATTGCTTAGTTCTCAGTCTTAAAAGCAGCAGGTGACAGATGTAGCATTAGATTGATGCTGCATCCACCTAGGTAAGTATCTTTATTACTTCCATTTTAAAACAATTCAGTCTTATGTCTTGATAAGAAAAACAAATAAAATGACCCAGATTAAAAAAAATGTTAATATTATAATCAAATACATTTTCCAATACATTTAATTATATGAAAAGACACAGTTTTAAATCTAATCAATTAAAATTAGTTATATTTAATGCTATTCACAGCAAATAATTGAATGTATGAAGAAAATATAGCTAAAACATATTTGTAAAGTATTATTGCAATTGCAGCTACAGAAACTACTGTGCATATGCTTTGGATAGATAAACAGATAGATACGTTGTAGAATAAAGTCAGAATCAGACTGTATTTCACTTGAATCTGACTTGAATTGTAGCTGTTGTGCTGGGAATTATGAGATCTTATTATGAAGAATAGTAAAGAGTAGGGATGGGTTTGACTTTCGAGTTGAATTTGGTAAGGGAGTTTGGCTGGCTGTTCATCCGTCTCACAGTGCATTGCAATTAGCCAAAGCATTACACCTGACCTTTGTTGCAATGCTTTGGCCAATCACAGCACAATGTCACCACTAGCTCCGCCCAAATGTTTACATCTGACCTGCAAATGTCAGATTGTGGCGAGTGCTTGTCAGGTGTGCACAGGTCGGCAGGCATGGGGGTTTTTATTATTTTGGTGAGTCATCAAGACAAAGCTGGGCGCAGTAATTGACAATAGATTACAATGACTTGCATTGAGTTCAAAGTTTGCATTTGAATATTCATTAGGTTCGAATGTTTGACCACAAACAGAACATGGGGTTGTTCAGCCATCACTAGTAAAGAGTACAGCTAAATACAACATTAGTAACTGCCCTTGAATAATTTTGTTTTCTATTGTGATATCCCCATTCGGTGTTTACTTGCTCAGTAAAGCAATATTGTGGAAAGTATCAGTAGTTGATATGAAAGACCAGTGAACAGTGATAGGTTAATTATAGGTTTTTAGAGAAATACTCTATACGAAAAAAAAAAACCCCTAATAATATAGCAACTCGAAAGCAGTTCAAAATTACAATCGTGAAATAAATGCCAAGACCACTCTGGGCGAAGAAAAAAAGCTGCTTTAAAATGCAATTCAGAATAAATGTTATGGAACTTGAAATGACTGAAAATAGAACCTTATCTGGACAATCTTAAATCCCAAATGATGGGTTCTGGACCTGGCCCTGAAAATGTCAATGTGTAAATGTCAAATGTCCCTGTAAGCTCTTGCAATTCCTGTATGCAGTTACTGTACATAGCACAGTGTACAGCTGTATAGTCAAAGGTTACCTTATAGATATTATTATACAATGAAGCCTGTTTTATTTTAATGCATTGTACTGGTGTGATATTCCAGTAATATTCTATATTCATAATATTAGACAAAATAAGAGTATTTTTCATAAATATAATTCATAGAGTCTCCAGCTAAGGTATAAACCCATTTCTATAGTACAGAGGAACAATTCTTTCTTTGTGAAATATGCCAAATACAGTAATCAAGATTTTTTTTTCCCAGCTGGAATGCCCCAGTACTTAGAACCAGCACCTCCACCACTGATCCTGCATGTAAAGCTACTAAGTGTCCCATTGGTTGCTTTGAAATTCCAGCGAGTACAAAAGAAAGGCAGTACTCGTTCCAAATGTTCAGTAAGACCAGACAGTCAGTGTGTGCTCCTCTACTCTCTTCCCCTCTCTGCTGAGACCCAATTTGCGTTGGAACTCAGGTTGGCTCCATTTGTAATGGTGATCTAAGGGGCAGTATAGAAAGTCCAGGTAAAGGGAAATCATACAAAAGTGAGAGACATAATCCCAGTGTATCCATGAAGAGACTCTAGAAGTTTCATAGCGCATTATATTGGTCTGTTGTGAAGATAGGCAGTCAGTTTTTCCATTTCCATTAAATGGCACATCTCGGTGACCCAGTCCTTCGCTTGGGGGACAGTTTAGGACCTCTAATGTCTGGGAATTATGGTGCACATGGAACAAGGTTTTGGACATCATGATATAGGGACCAGGTGGTATGGTCAGTTGGACTAATCGAGGGGTATTGGGCCATTACTAGGCAATAAGTTTCCAAAATTTTGGCCCAGAGGTGTTTGATGCGTGCACAGCTCCTCCATAAGTTCATTTTCTTTTTTTTTTTTTTATGCCTTCAACTGCCATAAATCATATGATAGTCAGGGTACTTAAAGTGAACATTTGCACAACTTTAAACTTAAAAAAATTCTACCTAATTGTAGATAAATCAATATAGATATATTTTTCTTTTTTTCCCAATCAAGCTGTGCCTCTGTGTTTTGCTTGTTTACTAAGACTTGACTTTGCCTGTGTTCAGGGCTAAGACCTGCCAACTAGTATTCCACTGTCCAATGGCCATAAAGGGTACCTTTATTGGACAGGGAAACTGCATTTGGCAGAGCTTAGTCATAAGGTCAGGAAAGTAAAACTTAATTAGAGAGAGGCAAAAAATAGGTATTTTTGGCTGGTAACAGTAATAACAGGCTTCTCTCATTATATCTACTAGTAAGCAGATATTTGAACATTTAAAAATGTACTGCTAATGATATCAGAGAACCATAGCCACACCATGGTAATATACACATTACTTAACACTGATTCAACCTCTAAAAGATTATAGGGCCATCGTACATATTCAGTCTAAAGTGAATACACTCAGTACATACATAGTGTGCAAATTTCAAAGCAATTCTGTACTCAAAGCTGTGAACCAGCACAACATTTCCAAACTGGTCAATCAGTTTAATTTCTGCAGCTTTGCTGACATTAATTCCATTCAATACATTGGCTAAAGGTGTTGACTGGTATGTAAACTGTCTATGACATTCTCACCAGAACTAAAGTTTGGCCAGAGAACCAAAAAAAAAAAAAAAAAAAAAACATGTGTGAAGAGGTATCAGGGTACTCACATAAGACTTGAAGAGTCTGGCTGGAAGATTTAAATGTGTTGGGCATTGACTCGTGACCAACAGTGCAGGTGATCTCTGCCTTGTCATCCTCTCTGGTCACTGGGAAACTGATGATGCTGACAACGGTGAAGGTTTTGCCATTAGGATCTCTTGTTTCAGAGTTCCGTGCTCCTAAAAGAAGAGAGCTGGGTTAATGGAACATATGGCACATTAAGCCTTAATGCTAAATTACATTTCTCAGAAAATGCTATAAGGGTGAACACACCATCTAAAGCAGAACTGTGGTACATTTTACAAAAATGGCCAAGGAATAAGGCTTACTGCCAATAAGACACTCACATTATTTCTATTTAGTATATATTATATAAGTGTCCAGAGGTTACCCTCTGCATCAATGGTGACACTACCTTTCTAAACACGCCCACTCTATGTCGGCATTTACAAGAACGACAAATGTAACAAGGATACTTTTTATGAGCACCAAAATAAGATTTAATTTCTTCTCCATTTACCACCGATGTAAAGGAAGCATTTCATTGACCACAAATTTTTACAGTGACATTTACCTTGACCACCAATGTAATTTTGGGCTTATACTAACCATAAGTGTAAAAGAACTGAAACTAGGAGGAGTATATGGACCACCAGAGTATCAGTAAGTAGAAGGTGTAAAGTGATATGGGGGTTTGTTTTCAGGGGTACAAAATGTCAAGAACTGTTAAGATTTCACTGAAAATTGGGGTCCCAATCAAATTTCTGCTATGGGGCCCCTATGACTTATAGGTATCCCCCTGCATGCAAGAACATAAAGATCTGTAATGAATGAAGCAGGGTAGTGGGAAGGTGCATTCCATTTTAAATATGTTTTTCTGCCCACTATTGTCCATCCAACTTTAAAGTTTGCTTTAACCAGAGTCCTAACTATAGCTCAGTCCACGTTAAAATAATTCTTATATAAAGATTGCTGAATGCAATGAAATAGTAAAGGTGTCCACTGACATTAGAGAATAGTGAATGTTATTTCATTAAGGGTCCAACTAAAATCCTAGCTGCTCCCTGGCTGTGCCTGTTTCAGGTTAGTTGATCAGCATGAATGGATTTTTCTGGCCAATCTCTATTATCTTTCTTTAAGTGCCTGCTACACTCCCCTCCATGTTCCTCCATACTTTCCTGGGGCCAAGAACATTATTCAGGGCTGTTCATGTGCATAGACATGAATGGCGCTGTACTTCCAGTACTGGGAGTACGGCCCTGTTCTAGTCTATGGAGAGTTACAACGTAGGGTTGACTAGTGAAGATTTGGTAAACTCCTGGGTGCGATGGTTCTAGTTTAGATTAAGTTAAGGGGCTACAGAGGGTAGGTTAGTTTAATCTTTAAGGCAAACCTGTCATTAAACAGTTAACAGCCACAGGCATCTACTGATCAGTGATCTAATAAGTGCAGGGACAATGTGAAGGGGTATTTTTAAATGCTTGCAAAATACTGCTAAAACAGAAACATTTTCTGTTAGGTTTCGATACATTAATATGGAGCTGTTTAAAATATTTTGATTGTTTTCAGTCTAAAATTCATGACCTGTAAGGTGTATATCTTGAAAATCCAGATTGTGTGTTTAGGTCTAGGATACACTTCATTCCAAGGCTTACCATCAGGGCCGGGACAAGGGGTGAGCGGGAGGGGGGCTACCCTGGGCACAATGGTTTACTATAAGGATGGGGGGATGCCTTCCTTCTGTTACAAGAATGGCAGTGGCAGTGATTTTGACAAGTGAGTGACTGCTGGGCGTAGGATCCCCTAAGCTTGACCTTAATGAATGGGGGGGGGGGGCGCAGTTTGGCATCTTTGCCTTGGGAGCTGGATGATCTTGTTCCGGCACTGCTTTCCGGATATAAGAAAAACAAAACAAAAAACTGTCAGAGCTCAACTTCTTTTAGATATATATTTAAGGTCCCCTCCAAAGATGATGGGCTCGCAAAGAGATGCATCTGTACCCCTGGTTGACATTAGTGCAGGCCGAGCGTCCCGTGTTTGCGTGAACATGGCAGCCTATTCATTTGAATGGGCTGCTATGCCCATCTTTCACAACACATGCACACGAAAACCACATGGTCTTGCAGGATGAGATGCGTGGGGGTGCCATTCAAAATTAATGGTACCCCCCTCCGCATCTCGCTAGAGAAATATGATGCGGCTGTGAGTAGTTGCGGGAATCGCACTGAATCCCGCCCACAGTGTGTGATCTAGTGTGAACCTAGCAGGAGTTAAGATAGCGGGCAAGGAAGATAGGCATTGTGACCACAGCTCTCTTATGACAAACACGGAGTCATCTGCTGTTAAAGTGGAGCAGCACAATGGTTAAGTGGATAGCACCTCAACCTGGCAGCACTAGGGTCACTGGTTCGAATCCCAACCACAATGTTACCTGCTTGGAGTTTGCATATTCTCTCTGTGCCTGCGTGGGTTTATTCCGGGTACTCCTGCTTCCTCCCACACTCCAAAGACACAATGGTAGGTTAACTGGATCCTGTCTAAATTGGCGCTAATATGTGTACTATATGTATGAATCGGAATTAGGGACCTTAGACCAGTGTTTCTCAATCCTTTTGCAGTCAAGGCACCCTTTAAAAGTATGGGCGATTTCAAGGCACCCCCTTCTAAGATATAAAAAACTAAACTAATAGTTTCACATATTGCAGCAACATCCACACACATTAGACAGCAAACAATGGCGGTGATTTATTATTTCAAAGCAAATACACTCTTGTACACTGGTACTGATTAGTATTCCAGAATTTCATTTTCCTCATTTTCTCTCCCCCACACCACTAAAGTTACAGAGAGGGGTGCGGCGGGTCAAGTAAGGATGCCATGCAGGTGCCCGATTGTCCTCCTTATTAACCAATGATGCCAGCAGTTGTTAGGATGCTTGTGGCTGGCCTGCCCAGTGACAAAGGCTGTAGAGCTGCACAATGAAAACCTGTGGCTTTGTGTAACAAAAAAGAAATCTTGATCCACCCACTTGCTTTTACACAATTTATGGGCAATTTGGAAAATTTTTAGTCATTTTGCCAAGGCACCCCTAAAAAACCCAGAAGGCACCCTAGTTGAAAAAGGCTGCCTTAGACTGTAAGCTCCTTGAGGGCAAGAACTGATGTGCAATATATATGTGTAAAGCTGGTGTAAATTGATAGCGCTATATAATTACCTGTATTAATAAATAATAATAATAAAGTGGTAAGCAGGAAGGGAACAACAGAACAGCTATGGCCTTAGAGTGGCAAATAAAATCCTCTGGAAGTGGTGGGCAGACAGGAAGATCCAACTGTAAGCTATAGCAGCTAAACCTAAAGAAGTCATTTGAAGGTGGTGGGCTGGCAGAGGTGCTAGAGTTGCTATAGAAGGCATCCATGTATACAGCAACACAGGGAGTAAAGGCTTGAGAGAGATCTTAGAGAGACTGATGCTGTTTGCCCCCTCTTACTAGACCCTGTTCCAGATTTTTGCTGGCTCTGTGCTATTTTCAGTGTAGGATCCCCCTGAAGCTTTATGTCCACATCCTCCTATAAACGAGGCCTAGATTAAAGCAGTCTGTTCCACTAGAGAGTGTCCTCAGTTAAAGTTGCACTAGTTCTGTAATATTCCAAGGTTCACCACATTCACCATCCCAGTTCTTCAACTGATAAACTGAAGAGAGAAAAAAAAAAAAAAACCTCTGCCTGGTTACTAAGTGAAGAGATTGAGAAACTGCGATGCACCCTTTAGGGAATAGAACTTGGGACAAACAGCGGGACCAGCTTGGGGACTGCACTACGCTAGCGCATAAGAGGGTGGTGGGCAGCCTCAATAGGTTACACTGCTCCGGAGCTCCCTAAGCCTATCTTTTGGCCACCACTTTAATTCTTTCTAATTTATTCCATATTTTCAATCAAAGTGATATGGAAGATTAAGGACAAGCTCAAAGTATTTTAAGATCAACAAGAGCTAAAGTAGTTTTTCTCACAAGTATCCATCAAAATCCACTGGCTACTATCCAATAATTGCACAGCTATACAAAAAGAATACAACATTCAATGATATTATGAAATGCATCAAATTAATGTGATATTTCTAACAAACAGCTGTAGAGCAGCTTTTGGATGTAGATATGACTGCCTTTGGGGCCTGTCCTCAGACCCAAGCTTTGACCTTCCAGTTCTAAGGAATCTGTAATCTTTACACTGTCTTCACATGTTCTTAGACTGGTATTTAATATGTGTCCTTCCCAGTAGTTTTGTGCTAGTATTTGCAGCCTTTAAAGCTTGTGTAGTGACTGTCACCTTGACTCCTAGCTCTCGAAGATGGTAATATAAAGCCTTAAGAACTGTTAGTCACTTTGTTTTAGAGAAGAGATGGAACTGGCTCTTTGATCTTCAGCAGTGAGTGGACTTACACTGTGCTTTTCCAGCAACGTTTTCAGATTTTAACATCAAAGGGCAAATACACCCAAAATTGAAATGTTCAAAAATGAAGCATGAAAAAGACACGTTCGGCTTCAAATTACCCTGAGTTATCGATGCCACTAGGTTGAAGAGTACAGCGTATGTCATCCCTTAATATAGGCAACAGCCTGCACACTCAGAGCAGATCTCCTCCCTCACTACAAATATTTATTTTAGCATAAATCCTCCTCCACAAGCTGCCCTAGAACACTTGGACGGTTAGTGTTGCTTATGACAAAAAAAACCTCTCTGTCAATGCAAATACCAAATCTAATAACTATGGGGTTGATCTACTAAAGACTGTTCACTTTGCAGGGAAAGTTGCACCTAGAGCTTGGAAAAGTGAGGTGACTTCCGTTGTCCAATTATGTGCAGGTAAAATTGTATTTATTTTTTTCTTTGCATGCTATTGGGATTTTTTTGCAAACTGAAGTTTCATCATATACACTAAGGGCTGGCTCACACAGGAAGGATGCAGGAACACGCTGCGATTTGACTAAGTCTCAAAAACACAGGGGCGCTCAAGTAAAGGTACTCCTAATGGTGTTCAAACATAATGCTCCATCTGATGCAGTCCTCCGCAGATCAGGAAATCTTCAAACAACTGCAAAAACACACAGGAGGGCGCCAATGCCTAGTGCACTACCATTATACAACTTTGTGAGTCTGCAATTGTTTTTGGTACAGTATTT